TAGTTTGGGGAGAGTCCGAAAAGAGTAGCTCCATCCCCGACCAAATATCCCAACATCTACTTAAACCTTAAACATAGTCCCCAGAGAAAAATTCCAGAAAAGTTGAACAATGAAAATTACCCGGTTTCCAGCACCTCTGTAAAAGAAAACATTTTAAATTGTATTTTCACTCCAAAACAGGCACTTTCCAAAGTACTCCCCCAGGTGAATAGAGGCCTCTCCCCAAACTAGTCAAATATCTATACATTATACAACCTAGGTTGTGCAGGGTTTTTTTTGAGGGGACTCATATAATTATAATTCGTACAAATTTGTTGATGTTCATATAAAAAAGGTTTATTACATAATTATGAAGATTAAAAACAATGCTCATATATATAAACATGATTCTTATAACCCTAAAATTATTACTTCTTAAAACCAGAAATCTCCAGAGCTCCAGATCCCAGCCACAATTCTGAAAACCTGGAAGAATCTGAAAGGCCAGGTTCTTCCTTATCAAATGGTTTATACTCTGGACCCTCTCAGCCCCTCTGGCTGAGAGTCCTGGGTGCCATAGTTGCCAAACTACACAGTGGCATTGGCTTACACTGCCGCAATACACACACACACACATGCAGGGGCGTATCTGCCGCGAGGCAAACAGGGTGTTTGCCTCGGACGGCAGATTCCACAGGAGCGGCAAAAATGCCAGGGTTTCAATGTACCTGTCCGCGGGCCACTTGCGGCCCGCGAGCCGGTACTTTGTGACCCGCAGCCAGCTCAGAAGTCAGGTACGTGGTCACGGACCGCATACCTGACTTACGGGAGAAGCTACACGGTCTGTATCTCTGTCGGAAGCAGACCGTGTAGCTGAGTCTGCGCCGGCAGTCGGATCCTTTCGGCCAGCGCTCTTTCAGTGAACTAAATAATGGTTTACCTGGATCTGGGTCCTAAGTGCCACACCCCTAGGGAATAAGGTATCAAAAAAAAAGAGAAAGAAAAGTTAGGGTTTTTTTAGGCATCGATTGACAACTCCAAGAGACAATAGACCGTAAAAAAATTGATTTTTAATGTGGATAATATTAAAAAGCTAATATGAAGCATAAAAGCAATCAGCTGGTTTTGACTCTTCCCTGTATGCTCACTCCATTCAACCTCCCACTACAAAAGTACATCATGAAAATTTGAACCAGACAATGTACATTATGGGACAATCAGGTTGAGATATACAATAGACAGTGCAGAACAATAAATACTGTTGGAACGGTTGACAGTGGGGGAGCAGTTATTCTCAACGTTTTGCGCACACAGGCGCTTCTTCAGGAGAAGGGAATGTCTACATAATTTTTTTTAAAAAGGTACAATAGTAAACATGATTTAAACAATCCATATAGTCATGATTCAATGTATATCAGTTTTTTTTTTAAATAGAGAAAATTACCTACCAATATCACAAGCTGACATATACAGGTGAAACTCGAATAATTAGAATATCGTGCAAAAGTAATTGCAGTAAGTGCTGCAAAAGGGGCCCAAACCAAGTACTGAGTACATATGCATGCTTGTACTTTTCAGAGGTCCGATATTGTTCTATGTACAATCCTTGTTTTATTGATTGCATGTAATAATCTACTGTTTTGAGGTTGTGGATTTGGGGTTCTTGGGGTTTTCATGAGCTGTAAGCCATAATCATCACAATTATGACAAATCACGGCTTGAACTATCTTGCTTTGCATGTAATGAGTCTATCTCATATATTAGTTTCACCTTTTAAGTTGCATTAGTGAAATAAATGAACTTTGCACGATATTCTAATTATTCGAGTTTCACCTGTATGTGTTTTAGCGGCCCATCTGGGCACCACGCCTGTACAGTCCTCACTAGCGATTGCAAGGATGGAGCAAGGACTAATACCCATAATTGAGCAATAGTTGCAATTTTTTATGATGCACGATATTTGCACAAATGTTTATCAAACCAGTATTTTTAGGATAAAATACACTAAAATGAATTCTACTGCACAGAAACAGAATATAATACGCCCTTGTTTTGGGGGTAAAATATAAAAGATGGGGTTATGTCTGGTAAATAGATAAGCCATAAAACTGTGTGCCTGTGAAATGCCAAAAAAAAATCATAATACCCAAAATTGCCCAGAGGCGATGCTTTAAAGAGAAACTTTAACCATATCTTAAATATGACAACAATGTTTAGTAATGACAACCTACACACAGATACTTATAGATCATTTCCCGCCTTTAATTCTTTGCATACCTTGTTTTCCTTTTCCTTCCATTCTTCTCACAGTAGCCTTTTTTTTGTAAATTTAGGGCAGGTCAATATATCTCCCTTTACTTCCTGGAACATGTGACCATGCACATCATCTCAGGGGAGGAAAATGCCTTTCCTTGAGATCTCGTGCAGTTTACAGATGAGATTTCTCAGCAATGCCCTGCGGATGTAACCTTCCCAGGATGCATGTCTTAGGAACAGGCTATATCACTAATGTCTAAGAGGACCAGGAAGGGGAAAAGTGTTTAGTGTTAGCAGTGATTGATGGCCCTAGAAATATTGCTCTCACTCGGATGTTCATGGTGATATGTCATATGGGGTGGCACAAACGTCGTTTTCGCACATAGGCGCACCCAATGTGTGTTTGCATTTGTCTGACCATGTATGTTGGGCGGGGACTTTAAAAAAAAAAAAAAATTCTTGTTTTTTTATATGCGACTTCAATTTTATTAAGCTTTTTTACACTTCATTTTATTGCTGTGACATGGACAGATTAGCTTCTCCAGCCACATCAACCAGAGAAACGACAGGCTGAAACTGGAAGTGATGTCGCATATGGGTTCAGTGATCAGAGGGAAGTGTGCTGATCTCCCTCCGATCGAGGTGCACAGACCCACCGTGTCAGTCCCGATAGACAGCAGTGGAGGGGGCGCACACTCCCCGGCTCCATACAAGCGATCGGGCGGCTGTGATCTTGGTATGATGAGAGAGCATGGAGTCGGCTCCCCGGCCAATCAGGAAGCCGGGCAGCGTGTAATGACGCACTGCCCGGCTTCCTGATACCGGAAGTATCGGGCTAGGCATTGAAGCATTTGGGTGAGCACGAGTACTCGCCCAAATACTCTGCATCGGCACTACTATCGATGCATCCTTAGTATTTACACATCCTTACTTCCAGCACAAAACTTCAAAACAATGAGCTCAGTCCCTGCTTATGGGTAAGTGGGCAGTCATGAAGATAATTCGTTATTGCCCAATTTAGCAATCTGCATCCAGAACTGCTGGTATATAGCACATATATCGCCATAATTTAACAGAGCCAGCGTTACCAATGTCCTTACAGCTGTTTCTGGCTACAGAGCCCTCATCAGTGCAAGATCTGGCTTCACTGGCTCGAAGGTGTAGGGCTTGCTTGTTTTGGAGAACAGTACAACCATTAAGGTTGTGGTGAGGGGATATAAAAGGAACCGAAAGGCTAACCTCTAAAATTACCGTGACATAAAGCATTGCTTTAGATCTTATTGGAGTGGCAAAATGCCTTAGTAAACATGTTATCTTTCTTACCATCTTTAACAAATAATCCATAAGTAGATTTGTGTGGGAAAAGAATATCTCCATCTCACCTGGCTGCAATTGGTCTCTTGGCCAACTCTGTTAAATCACAGACCCCATATATGTGTTTTAAGTAGAATTTCCAGGTTGTGTATAAGGACTAAGATAAGTTCTCTCCACACAAAAGTGAGAACAAGGTCATAACAACCAATCAGGTTTCATTTTGTACTGTATGGGAAATGAAGCAAAGAATCTGATTGATCACTATACATAAAAGTGTACCATTTTACAAATCTAAGGGAATGTTTTCTGCATATCCAGCCAGGTGACTGTACCTGGATTCACCCAGATCTTATAAATGGCCTCCACATTGCTCAGTGCAGGAGAAGGTGGGCTCTCCTCTCTGCACCTCCACTATACCACCAACACACAGGTGCTTGTTCTTCTTGGCTATTGAGGACAGACTATTGATTGGTGTTTCCATCTCTTCAATCAATGGCTTGGATTGTTCCAATCATTATGCTGAGGACTTAGCTGTGTGGTAGAGCCCCCTTGTTGGTTCGTATATGCCCTCCCGATCCTAGCAGACATTCACAGTATGTTTGCTCACTACAAGCGGCTTTATTCATACAAAACGCGTAGAGTGCAGCCCTCTCTGATGACTTTCTCATGATACCTATGTCAAGTGCTAAGCACATCTCTATATAGTTTGACATATATAATCACTTGTATCAACTAGAGGGGTCTAGATTGGATGTAAGGAGTAATGCTTTTTGAGCTACAAGTATGAACTTTCATTTTTATGCTGCAGAATATGTAAATGGTATACTATGTATATAAATAATTATGTTTTAATCTAAGTATCGCTTGTGTGGGTACCTACAAAATGTGTCAGTTTTTCTTCTTTAAGGTATCTGTGCTATTTTTGGATGTGGTACCCCACTTGTATCCCTTGTAATTAATTGATAGTTAAGTTTAAAAAAAAAAAAAAAATAAGATCATCTCCAAGTTAGGAAACTTTATTTACATAGAATACATAACTTAATTACAACATGTCTTGCATAGAAATCGTCACCAGTGTCTACCATCTGGCCTCAGAATCCATGCACGATTGTGCGAGTTTATTAATCAGTCAATATCATCATCATCAAAAAGGTCTCCGAAGTCTGTAAAACAGGAATGCAGAGTTAGTACAAACACCATGCATGACAGTACAAACACCATGCATGACAGCCAACGTGTTCATAATAGCAGCTGTTATTCTCACATATTCTGAAATTGCACTTATTATTGGATTTTATGGTCCAACCAGCTAATACACCCCACTATCTGGCTCAATTTCCATAAAGTTTGAAAGAGGACAGAAGCAGTTCTATGAAAAATGAAAATAAAGGCAGGCTGTTTTTGACTCATCTCTGCCACAATTAATTCAAGCAGATATATGTCCTTCTCATTGATTAAAAGAAGACCTGTCCTGCAGCCTGTTCCTTGGTGCTTCACTCTCTTGCAGAGGAAACCTGTCAGCAGAATATTCCATGCCTGCCAGACACCTCACGCAGTGGTTCCTCCTGCTGGCAACTACATCACTACTATGTCCCTAAGAGACACTAGTGACAGAGGCCGGCAGGTAGAACCACAGCACTGCAGTGAGGGACAAGGCACCCAACAGACATGGAAGCGTCAGATGATGGAATACCACCATCATCCCCCAGCTCGCAGAGCTCCACGCCCCCCGCAGCGCCGCTCATTTAAGAAAAGAAAACCAGGCCTGCTACTTGTCCGTAGCAGGGCTAAAACTGTGAAAAAACCACTTGCCCGGAACTACATGTCCCGGGCGATACGAATTCCACACCCCTGTCAGTAAAGGCTAATCTTAAAAGCAAAAAGCCGAGATAAGGTTAAATATCTCCTGAACCTTTCCTGCATCTACTGTTCAGTAAAGGCTCATTTCAACAGCAAAAAGACGAGATGAGGTTAAATATCTCCTGAACCGCTCCTGCATCTACAGCTGGGCTCCTACATACTCCGGTCTCCTGATCTTGACCCAAGAGTGAAGATTCATTACTGTGAGTGCAACATTTATTATTCAAACGAAGCCTTTTGACTTTATTTATCCGTTCTTATTTTTTCTTCCTATTTTTCTTTATCAACATTTTTTTTATTTTTTTTTCATACACGTGTATGCTCATTTTTGGTCTAGGAGACTGACATTCTCTTTTTTCCAACTCTGAGGTTTAGAGTTCGCAGATACCCTTCTGATATTCAACACCACGGTGAACAGGTATACAAGCATCCCAGGGCGCACCTTATTCATATATTTTTTTCTTACAAATAGAAATGTATGTTTATATCCACTTGCACTTTCTATGATACCAGCCAAGAGCAGTCATATATGTGATGTTTATATGTTTGTTTGGTCTTTTTGATACGTATACATTTTAATATATCCAAAAATAAATTCATTTTTTACGATAATTTTGTTCTACACTTTGTAACCACGGTGGGATCCCCCTTCGGGGAATATTTGCGTTTTGCTATTATTAGAAGGGACCAACCGTGTAAATTGAATACGCTCTGTGTTACTAATTTTATACCTTGAAAACCTTCCCTTCCCCAGTTGTATAGCTTAGAATTTTATTGGCAGTTTTGATGTGAAGTGAGTGAAGATCTGAGAAACAAGAGTTGGGACACCCAAGTAGAAATACTATTTTACTGCACAGTGTTTTAATTTTTTAATCCATGACAGAGTGTCTTTTACCAGCCAGAACAATGAGATCTGTATTGTGACAAAGTAACACTAAAGTCAAAAGTTTAAGCTATTTTAAATGCTGATTAAATCTCTTACAATGGATGGTGCGCCTTGATGTATTTTAGTTTCCTGCAGAATCAGTTGGCCCCCTGAGCACTGGCCCTGATATCCTATTATAAGGTGGTTACTTTCCCTTGCAGGGCCCTATGGAGAAACCCTTGTATGTGCCCACAAAACACAGACAGAAATGTGTCCATGTCCATTGCACTCCTGACCAGATTTAACCTAATGTAACTGTGGGTTACATTAGGAAAGCAGATGGCGCCGCCAATCAATCCATAGAACATCAAGTGATCACTGGCATTCCGAAATCTTTTGTTTATTGACATTGATGTTTCACAAAACACACAGGCACAGCAGGAAAAAACATTCCCTGTTTCCTGTGGCAATGATAGGTCAAACATGTTTAATTTACACACATCATTTGCTGGACAATGTTTGATCTGGATTCATTATTGGAATGAATTATTGCTTAGCCTAGGGAGCTAAAAACAGAGATATACTCACTCACCCGAACCACTAGCTGGCTCCTAGACCACTTCCTTCAGCCTCACTCTGCCTCTGCACCAGCGAGTCATCACATCCTAAACAGTGTACTGGGTACTTTCCATCACTGGAGCGGAGGAGGACCGGTTTATGACCGAGCCGGGATGGCGGCTTGGGTGAGTATATCTTCGTTCTTTTAACTCCCTATACAAAATGAACAATAACCATTGATGGCTTTAACAGCATGACTGAGCATCCCAAAAAAATAAAAATCACTTACATACACTTACTACAATGTTAATGATAAACCTTCTGCCACTGAAAGGAAAATATAAATCTAGCATCTGTCCAGTATAGTGTCAAAGCGTTGGAAAGCTATCACTAAAGCTAAAAGAGATCTATGGGGTAACCTTTTTATCCCATAGTTCTCTTTAGGGTCACAGGAGGACATATACAAACATCCTTCCGTGAGCCAAAGCTCAGTATATAGCGGGCTACAGCTTGCTATATACTAAGAGCACCGCAGCCGGGACAGATCCCAACAATACTGTCGAGATCCACCCAGCTCCACTGTCCGTTCCTCCAGTCAGCGCTGGAGGATCGGGGAGGGGGGAATCCCTGCGGGGAGCGGTGACTGACAGTCAGTCACCGCTCTCTGCATGGAGATGATCGGGAAGCAAGCGAGCAACCGTATATGTTCGCTCACTTCCCGATCAATAGAGCCGACGTGTGAGAGTTTCAATGTCACACGTCGGCTCTAACTATGCGTATGAGTCTAAATCACTCACCTGATAGCTTTCCTTTTACATATAAACATGTCTATGTCCTTCATGCCTTGTAGAAGAATATTGCTATCACTTACTGTTGAAGTAGTCTAGATGAACAGCTTTTTCATTTGCTGCCAGATCCATCAGAAGTCCAGTGCTTCCTCCAGCCTGTAAAACACAACAAACCATATGCTGATTTTTTTTTCTTTTAAAACATGCCTGTAGTGTCTAAGCAGGAGGGTAATGAAAGCAGAAGCTGTACTTATCTCTTCTCAAAACGGTTTTATTGTATTTTGAGGCTTAGGCAATTCTTATGTCCCTTCATGGTTGGTGGTTTTTTAGCAGGCAGCACTAAGTGTTTAGGTGCATTGGAATGCACCTAAAAGCCTATTTTAAGAAGAAAAAAAGCTCCGGAACACAGCAAAACGCAACGCACTGCATTCCAGATCTGGTCACGAAAATGGTGTGAACCTGCACTAAAGGTTACCTTTCAATTAGAGGTGCACCGAAATAGAAATTTAAAAACCGAAAAGAAACCGAAATAGTAAAAATTGTCAGGCCGAAACCGAAAGTTTTTATTTTAATTTTTTTAAATATTGTATTTTTATTTCTTTTTTATAAACTTTTAAATGTTTTTATATTTATTTATTCATTTTTTAATAAATATTTTTTACTTTTAGGGGCTTTGGGGAACTATTGGGGGTCTAAACAGAACCCTGATATTTCCCTTTTAAAATAGAAAAAGAGATTGAGAACACAGAGTCCTCAATCTCTTTTTCTGTGTTCCCTTTTATCAATGAACAGGAATCCTCTATGAGTGTTCCTGTTCATTCATAACATGAGGACAGAGTGTGTTTACTATAACCACAATCATGAATGAACAGGAGGGGATGTAGATCACTCCCATTCATTCATAATTGAGGATATAATAACTAGACATGTGCGATTCGTTTCGTTCCGAATCGAAATTCGGAAGAATTTTCGGAAATTCGGATGTATCCGAATTACAGATATAACAAATGCAAACGAATCCGAATTTCCGTTTCCGAAATTCGGTAGCGGTAGTTTGTTCAAACGTTCGTTTCGTTTGTTTCTTATTCGTTTCGTCCGTTGAAGAAAAATATTTTCCCCCTCAAATGTCACTTTGCTGCAAACGAGCGAAGGAATGAACGAAACGAATAAGAAACGGAAACGAAACGAACGAGCCAACGAATTTAGTCAGAATCCGAATTCCGAAATTGACTTTCACACCCGAATCCGGAAAAACGAAATAACACAAATCCGAATTTAAAACGAAACGAAACAAATTTTTTGGCAGTGCACATGTCTAATAATAACCATACCATATCATCAATTATCTACAAACACTCAGCGATCACTGAGTGTATGTAGTCTGCTCTCCTCTCTGACATGCTGTCACAGGAGGCTGAGCGAGCGGTGCGAGAGGAGAGCCCAGCCTCCTGTGACAGCGCTGTCTCCACCCCCACACCGCTCTGCGATAGGAGGATGAGCGGTGTGGGAGGAGAGACACTGGCCGCTCACAGCGCTCTCCTCACGCAGCGCTAGGCCGGCTGTCACTTTCTCTACCTTCACAGAGGGACACAGAGCAGCGCCCAGCGGGGAGGAAAGAAATCACGGATGCGCCGATGTATCGGCAGGAAAATTGCAGTTTTCGGCATTTAGCCAATAGTGCCATTTTCGGCTGATATGTTTCGGCAGCCGATATATTGGTGCATCCCTACTTTCAATTGTAGGTTTGGTTATAACACCATTCCCAAAGTTTAAAGGTAAACTGTACTTTGCCTACGCAGGGTAAAGCAACAAGTGTGATTCAAAAAAATAAGGCCTGCACACCCCCTCCCACAGCACATACTCACATTTCTTTTTCTCTTCTGCCACTCTATTTAGTCACTGGAAGTGATGGAATTACCCATTACTTCCAGATACGGAAGAGCATGCCACTTACCCACATAAACAAACTGGGCACATAGTCAGAATTTTAGCTCCAACTCATGGTCAGCTGCTCCAACATCCATGTTGAAAGTTCTTAACTAAACCCCTGTATATTATATTCTACAATATGGCGCACGCCATAAATAATGAACACTGCAAAATCCACTCGGTTGTAATCATCAGTGGAGC